TTAATATCAAAAGCGCGATTGGCACGTGGGCGTGATCTAATTAGAGATAATGAAGGCAGATGGCCAAGACTTGACATCGCGTTGGTTTCATACTGATTACTTTGTCACATAATATTTGTTTTCGTCATGACTCACTTTGTTTAAAAGTAGACATGCTAAGCTTTCTATAGATATATCTCTGATGTGTGTGTGTCAAATATTCCGAGTTTCAGTTCATTTTAGTGATGCGTTTCAAACAGATATGCGCGGAGAATGAGATGGCTAAAAGCACACCCTGTTTATTTTCTTTATTTTGCAAAAGCACAATGTTTTGTTGATATTGTGAGTGTACACAAATAAAAGTAGACCCTTTAAAGATTTAAATGCTGTATTACTCTTATATGTATGGTCAAGTATGAAGGAGCATTTTAGTTCTTTTCGCTGTCATCATTCAAATCTGCAAAACGTTCCACTGGCGGAACTGTCGACCCCAGGAGGTTAATAATAGCAATCAGCTAATTTTAAATCCATTTACATGTTATGCCCCCTTTTGTTTCACTTTGATTTGATGTTCTTTCTGAACCTCAAAAGGAACCAGAGACACTTCTATTTTTGATTTGTTTATTTTCAACATGTGCCCTAATTTTATGACCCTGTCACACAAGTAATCTAGACAAACCCTAGGGCATAACTATCGTCCTGAGCACCAAATAATAAGCATAATCTGAATAGAAATGCTCTCCTCTACCTTCTCCTTTTCCCTCTTTCTCCTTCACTTCCTCAGAGATTGAACCTGTTGGGGGTCCATCAGTAAATTCTAAAAATAAGACTGATAATCTGACAATAAGAGCAGTCTTAAGTCATCAATCAAAACTCTGTTTGATCTTGCATTAGTCTCTAACCCTTACTCTCAACACGAGTTTGCCAAAATGTTGCAGATGCTCAGTCTAACTGCCCAGATGGCAGTCCAAAATGACTGGCCAGGTGTTGTGAGGAACACCCTTCTACCCAGGGCTGACGACAACCTACTGCACCAGAGCCGAAAGCAACTGGACACCGAGGGAAGAGTTTTGTAAGACCCCACTGATTTTGAACTGCACATCCCAGAATCCAAAGCGGGCACCAGAAGGCACCCAGCATTGCCACAATGCAAGGCCCTTCTACAGAAAGCCACTAGCCAGCGGAGGACAGAGCTGTTACCATGGCAACAGACCCAAGTCCCAGAGCATTCACTGGGAGAAGCCATGGAAAAGGGAATCCTCAACCTGCAAACACCATGGTATGTCCAACAGCAGCCCACCACAACATCCTCCTCCACACCCTTCACACAGGTGCCGAAAGGAGGCTACACAAGGACAGCTGGACACGCCTACTTCTGGGTTACAGGAGCTGCTGACACTCGCAAAAGAGCTCCTTGAACAAAACTCAACTAAGGAGTACTGAGAAGGACAAACCTCTGACTCCTTGAAACCGGTCGACACCCCAGAAGCAGCCAGACAACGTTGGATGGAGCAACGGGCCCACATGCCCAACAGCGAAACCTCTACCAACACAACTCAGGCAAGCTCAAGTCGGTGCCTCCACAAGAGCAAAGCGACACCACAAACATCAGATTTCTAGTGACGTTCGAGCAAAACAGAGGGCTAACAACCACCTGCTGCTCTCCTGTCATCATTACTAGGTACCACGGATAGCCTACTGCCGCACAAGCTCGAGGACCCTCACCTTGCTACAGCCTACATCACCACAGCACACCACCTGACAGCATCCACCATGGCACCACAACCACTCCTGGAGGCAACAACAGCCAGAGAGCCACCACTGTCTCCCAGCCGTGAGTGGCAGGTGCGGGTCTGATTGTTCTGCACCTTTGACGTCGCTTGCTGTTGTCTATTGGACGGAAAACAACGTTCGAAAGGGGGGATATTTGTAGCATCTGGACCAATCAGACACACAATATATATTTTGTTAGTTATATTTAACAAATACTCTGTAACACCCCTCAGTTAACAAGCCATATGAGGGCCTATCGACCCTTCCCCCGAAATGCGTCTTAACACCTCAGGAAGGCAGAACAGGCCTCTGATTCCATGGCAACCAATGCTGATATCCCTGGTTTTATTGCCCAAAGGAATGTGGGCAGAGAAACTCACTAATTTTCCTCATAGGAAAGACACATAATGCCAAGAGAAATGGACTGTTCTCTAATTAATTCATAGGAAAACCCTTCTTTGAATGAACACGCATATCCTTCAGGTCATTGTGGATGTTGTTACTGTCTTTGTATATTGTCTCTTATATTGTATACTGTTTTATGCAGGCTTATGATAGAACCACTCGTTCATGTAATCTTACCTATATGTAATCCTACTATGTTTAGTATCTATGAATTCGTCTTCTGATGATTATATTATATGTGGGTACATAGGCAATATATTAGTGTTCTAATAATCTTTAGTAATTTTGATTCGAGTTCCATATGCAAATTACCATGCTCTCACACAAAGGGTCATAAAACTCCCCAGTATTTCCAACCTCCCGCTTGGAATTTCAGTCTTTCTCATTGGACAAGCCCAACCTGAGAGGCATGAATCTTGTCAGGCCTTAAAGGCCTCACATCAGTGACCCGCTTTCAGTCTGTGGTTCTGTTAGATTCTGAGAAGATGTGAGCTAGAATGCTCCTAAGGTCACCCTAAGTTCGCACCAGGCCTCGGGCCTTTACTTTCCATTCACCAAGATCATCTGACTCTAACTGGTTCTTTTCCATCAACCAACTTCAGCAAAGTACAATAAAATACTACATTTTTAATGTTCTTAAGTAAAGGTAAAACAAACAACTTTTATTTATGAAATGAAGTGCAGTAAAAAGTATGACATTATGCTTTGGAATGTAGTGAAGTAAAGTTAATGGAAATGCAACAAATTTGTATTGGTTTATATTACAAAACGTGTGTGTATACATAAGTTACTTTAAAAAAAAAATAGACATTTAAAGAAAATTAATAATTACAAAAACTCAAAATTATTAAATCTTTAAAATTAAAGTGCACACACAGTTATAAAAAAAAAAAACTCACTTTGTCTTTTGAATTTATGAAGCTTTTTCAGAGACATTTAAAGAAAATTAATAATTACAAAAACTCAAAATTATTAAATCTTTAAAATTAAAGTGCACACACAGTTATAAAAAAAAAAACTCACTTTGTCTTTTGAATTTATGAAGCTTTTTCAGTTTACTTTTCTTCTTTCCATCAATATTTTTTACTTTCTTGGGTCTGGTCAGCTTGAAGCCAGGTCCTGCCCTTGCATCCACCACCTTGGGGGGAAAAAATAAATAAAATATTATTTTCACAATGGCTGTAAGGAAATGGAATATTTCCATTGAAAACAACATAACAGTCTCTTACATGGTTCCAGTTTTTCTTTGATCCATGTGGTAATTTCTTCCAGCGTTTTACCAGCAGCACACAAGCATTGCAGATGTCTCCAACCCGATCCTCTGACAGACTACCAAACATATCCCAATACGAAACAAAAAATTAATTAGCTAGGACAGAATTGATTACACAGATTAAGAAATAAAAACAAATATTTTACTGAAATTGTATTATCCATTACAAAAAAAAAAAAAAAAAAAAGGAATTTCTCATTTTTTGGAATATCAATGGGATTATCCAGCATGATATTATTTGATTCTAAAAGGATTCTCGGCTGATCTCATTAGGACTGGATCCAAATTGTGATAGAAATTCCACCAGCATTCTTTTTGGAATACGTGCGGAAAACACTCACCCGAAGCAGAGTCTGAAGTGTTCCTCATATCTGCTGCTGTCCGTGAACCGAGAACTGGACGACTTGGTTTTGCAAATACAACAGCCTTCGTTGCTGCGGTAAATCTTGGATTTATGGAAGCCGAACATCTTGACGGGCTCTAGACATGAATGGAGAGCGTCATTAAAACAAAGATCTGCACGTTTTGCGCGGGGGATTGAAGGGGGGGCGGTCACAGGAATTCATCTCTTGCACTTGACAATTTCACACCGTTCATTAATGTTGTAGAAGTTATGCAAAACTGCCGAATCACAAGCGTGCGTCTGAATCTGTCGCGTCTGCTGCAATGACCTACTTTTGATGTTTGACAAAAGCTTTTGCTGCATTCACCTTTAACACATGATCATGGACTTGTGAGGAAAAAACTGAACAGCAGAAGCGGTTGTAAAATCGAAAGTACAATTAAATGGGCGCCTCTTCTCAGAGTTTAAGACACGGAAAAGCCGAAACGCATATTTGGAATACAAATATTAAGGTAATAATACCTTCAAAAACGCCTCTCAGACGATCTGTATGCATAACATAAGGCACGCTGCGCGCTTGATGCATCAATACAAACGCGTGAACGTCTGAAAAACCACATCAAACATGCCACAAGCCACTCATTCACGAAGACTCCGTACATTACAAAAGAATTATTCAGAGAAATTATGCCTTATACGACCCACTGTGTATTCTGTATTAGCTCATTCGCACCATGTTTGCATCTATGGAAACCAAAAGAAAAAGGGTAACGTTACGCGGAGGGAGAGCTGTCGTAAATTAACATTTACACGCGTTCTTAAATCAAACGTTGGCGAAGTTGTTTCTAAACCACACATGAAGGGTATCTCGGTTAAAATACGGGTTGAACGCTACCGTCTCGTCCGTCTAAACTTCCACGCAGTGCGAGAGCGCCAAAACGCGCGTCCCATTAACAATAACAGCTAGCCCGTTAGCACGCGACCATGCCACGCTCCACAGCCAAGCGCGCTAAGCCCCATTGTTGATGTAAATAACCGAGCTGTAAAACCACTTACAACACGCTACACACTCCAGGACTGACAGTACGTACAATTAAAATGAAATGCTACATTCGTACTGCTAGTTCGTGACAATAACAAAGGACTTACCGTCAGAAACTTTGAATTCCGTCCGTTTCACTCGTCTGTACTGCGCATGCCTTACTACGGCCACACAGACATACACAGATGAATGGTGGGGGCGGGGCCTGCGTACAAACATTGAGTAAAGAGGTTTGTCGGAGGAAGACCATATAAGGAGCGTAGACGCCACGTTTAAACATTATTTCAACCAATCACTGCACTCCGCTCGTTTGCCATTTAAGAACGTTGCATCCGGGGAAGTACAGAACAGTCCCGTCTCGCACGTATTGTTCGTCTTGTTCTCACTTGAATGTGAGTGAATGGACCCATTTTCCCAAAATATTGTCGCTCGAATGCTTGAAATACGCTACCTTTTGTATTATATTAGCATTATGCTGCATGACATTAAATTGTCGAACGCTCCAAAACGTGCTATAGTGTTTCTGCACGTTCTTTTATTATGACTGAGCTAGTGAAACGCAGTCGCCTTTTTGTAAGCGATATTAATATACTCTTAGTTAAATGTAATACACTTTTTTGTACGCGATATTAGCCTTAAAATGGGTACTTGACACATAAGATGTCCATGAATTTTGAACACCATCTTATTAAAAACAAAGTATCCCATATTGCTCAAGTTCAAGTTTATGACCATTTTTTTTACACTTAAAGTAATACGTTTAAGATTGGAAATTAATATGAATAAGTAAGAGCCTATTTTGGGGTTTCACACATATTTTTGAGTTTTCCTTATTTTTAATCACCTTTCTGCCTTCACTGGTTCATTTTAAATTATATTATTACATTCATTTTAATAATATTAAATATTTTCAGTAGTCACTACTCCAGTCTTCAGTGTCACATGCTACTTTAGAAATCATTACAATATGCTGTTTTTGTGCTCAATAATTTTTGATGCTCAATTATTAAAAATGTTTCTTATCAACGTTGGAAATATTTTGTTTTACAGGATTCTTTGATGAATAAAGTTCATAAGAGCAGCATTAAATTGAAATATATAGGCCTATATATTGTGTGTAAAAATGTCTTGACAGTCACTTGTGATCAATTTAATGATTCCTTGCTATCTATCTATCTATCTATCTAAACCATTTAATAAAACCCATATAGTCTCTTAATATGGTTATTAAACAATAAAGCTTGATCCGTTGTGAGGAAAATGCTGTTGAAACTAGTCATTAAACATGCAAGTATTTCATTTAAATGCTTAAATTAAAAACTCAAATAAATGTAACTGATTGTACTGCAATTCCATTTTCAGACAGATTCTGCTCTTGAAAGTCAAGACTGAAGCATAATCATATTGAATTGCCACCTTTAATACATTTTATACACTGTACACAGTTCAATATTTAACACTACATTACACTGCTTTTGTCTATAAATGTATCAAGAGATAAAACACAAGAAAAAATAACTCCCAGAATGCTCATGCCAGCTGTGTTTGAACAGGTACCAGAACAGTCATGATGAAATTGGCACATGAATATCAGCCTTTAATGTGCTTCTCCCAGTTATGTCCTACAAATTATGCTACACTCTAAAAGAGGTGAATGATATTTCATTAATATTCAATAACAACATTTTGGAGCTGTAAATATTGCATAGCAGAAACAGAGGGGATGCTGGGGTTAACTAAGGACAGGGACACGAACACAGCAACTGTGCCGCAAATTAATTCTACTCCAGATATGGCATTGGTAGTTGGCCACAGTCGAGACCTGAGGGCTGAAGAGATGAGGAATGTTACGAAACAGTATCCTTTCTGCATTGATTGTTTTTAGTTTTTACAGTCCATCTTGTAAAATATGCTTGAGCATCACTTTCATGAGTCATATCTTTGATTTTAGGGGATCACAATAAGCTCAAGAAGACAGTTCACCCTTTTTCTTGTGTGGAAAGCAAAAGGAGATATTTAGATGAAAGTCCAAGCTGCTCTTTTCCCAGACATTTGTGGCTGCCATTCACTTTCATTGTATGGGCAGAAAAAAGAAAGAAAAAAGTGGATTTGGAATGACAGGACGATGAGTAAATGATGACCAACTTGTACACTACCAGTCAAAAGTTTGGAATAATTCAATATTTTATGTTTTTGAAATAAATCTCTTACGCTCACTGTTTATTTGATCAAAAATACCGTAAAAAGAGTAATATTGTGAAATATTATTACAATATAAAAACGGTTTTCTTAGTAATTGTTTAATAATTTTAAGTTTAAAAAGTAATTTATTCTTGTGATGCCAAAGCTGAATTTTCAGCATCATTACTCCAGTCTTCAGTGTAACATGATCCTTCAGAAATCATTCTAATATGCTGATTTTGTGCTCAATTATTTTTGGTTCTCAATTATAAAAATGGTTCTTATTATCAATGTTGGAAAAATGTTTTGCTGCTTAATATTTTTGTGGAAACCTTTTTTTGTAGGATTCTTTAATGAATAGAAAGTTTGTAAGAACAGCATTTAATTGAAATAATGGGCAAACAAATGAGTATATTAGAATTTCTGAAGGATTATGTGACACCGAAAACTGAAGTAATGACTGCTGAAATTTCAGCTTTGCCATCACAGGAATAAATTACATTTTTAAAATGAATTCAAATAGCCTCAATGAGCATAAGCGACTTCTTTTAAAAACATTAAAACACCTAATTAGTTTAAACTTTTGACTGATAGTGTAATTTTTGGGTGAACTGTCCCTTTAAACTGATTTGCATTTAGAGGGAAATGACACAAGTCCCTGGCATTGTTACAAAAGAGAGCCTTTTTTCCATTTTTCTCATCTTTGCTTTCTTTAAGTAAAAATATGAATTCCCCACAAGATGTACTTATAAAGCATACTTCTACATCATTTGCCTTGAACTCTGCATTGTGACAGTATGGATTAGATTAGAGCACAGAGCAAGCAACCTGACACATATCAAAATAACACTGCTCTTCTTTGAAAATATAATAACGGTTTTTCTTACATGTTTTCCTTTTAAATATAGCCATTGTCAACAGTCCACAACAACAACGAAAAATATTGAGCTTTCAATAAAACGGTATAGCACAGGTGAGGGTTTTCACCTTTCGTGAAAAGTATGGATCAAAACAGAAGACATATTTGAATGTCAGTAACGTTGATCAAAATTATGGCGCGTTTGAAAAGGCTCATTGCACTTAATATATGGCAAACATGACAGAATCTTTAACGTAAGCCAGGTTTAGTCCTTTTGTAAAATCCATGTAAAAAAAAGTTAGTCCATGGTCCCGCTGATCTGTGTTAGTTCTATATTCAGACAGCGTTATATCCCGATCCCTTTGACAAGAGAGGCCTCCAGAGTGATATTGAATTCCTGCAGAGTCTGTAGCACTCGAATCAGAGAGTTCACCAGAGAATGGTCCTTTAAGAGTGCCATGTCCTCGTACATCTGTGCTGTGATTGGACACTCGGCAAGAAGCGCAATCCAGTGGTGCAGCAGGTGATCTCTGCAAGCAGAAAGACAAGATGTGTGTCAACATATGTGAACTAGAGCCCAACCGATATGGGTTTTTTGGGGGCCGATGCCGATACCGATATTAGGGAGTAAAAAAAGACCGATACCGATATTTCGGCCGATATTCTTTATGTATAGGCTATATTATAGTACAATATAGTCAAAAGTTTGGACACACTTCCCATTTGTGTGTCCAAACTTTTGACTGGTACTGTATATAGAATACAGTAAATAGCCTACATCAGAGGTTCTCAAACCTCTCCATGAAGTACCCCTAGCACTGCACATTTTGTATGTCTCCCTATATCTGACACACCCACTTCAGGTCTTGCAGTCTCCACTA